CCACATACAGCGTCACAACCCAGCGACCTGGGACTCCAAGGCGCCGCTTCTCTCACTTAAAGGGCCAGAACAGACCAAAAATGTCGCAGGGGGACCTCAAAGCCCTGGAGATAAATCTAAGTGACGAAGAAATAGCAAATCTCTGAGACGCACAGTTTAAAACACTGGTCATCAGCTTCCTCATAGATCTGGTGGACTATAGCCACAAATTAGAGAAACATATGAAGGCTAAATTAAGGGAAATGAATGGAATTCCACAGGAAACCCATAGAGATGAAAAAAAAACTGGGACTCAAATCAATGGAGTGAACCAGAAGGAAGAAAAAAATGATCAATCAGAAAGGAATGAAGATATAAGAATTCAGAAAAATGAGGAGAAGCTTAGGAACCTCTAGGACATCTATAAACGCTCCAATATCCGAATTATAGGGGTACCAGAAGGGGGAAAGACACAACCACCAGTGGAAAAACTATTTGAACAAATAATAAAAGAGAATTTCCCCAATCTGGCAAAGGAAACAGACTTCCAAGAAATCCAAGAAGCCCAGAGAGTACCAAAAAAGTTGGACTCAAGAAGAAACACACCAAGACATATCATAATTACATTAGCCAAAATTAAAATGAAGGAGAGAATCCTGGAAGCAGCAAGAGCTAAGGGGACAATCACCTACAAAGGAGTCCCCATCAGGCTGTCAGCAGATTTCTCAAAAGAGACCTTACAGGCAAGAAGGGGCTGGAAAGAAATATTCCAAGTCATGAAATCTAAAGACCTACAACCAAGATTGCTCTACCCAGCAAAACTTTCATTTAGAACGGAAGGACAGATAAGGTGCTTCTCAGATAAGACCAAATTCAAGGAGTTCATCATCACCAAGCCCTTATTATATGAAATGTTAAAGGGACTTATCTAAGAAAAAGAAGTTAAAGAAACATGAACAGTGAAAGGACAACAAACTCACAGTTATTAACAACCACACCTAAAACGAAAGCAAACTAAAAGGACAGCTAGATCAGGAGTGGAAACATAGAAATGAAGATCTCAAGGAGGGTTAGCAACAGGGGAGTGGGAGGAGGAGACGGGGGAAGAAGGTACAGAAAACAAGTAGAATAGACAGTAGATAGAAAATAGAGGGGGGGGGGGCAAGAATAGTATGGGAAATATAGAACCTAAAGGACTTGAGACACATGGTCATAAACTAAAGGGGGGTGATGGTGGGGATGGGGGGGTAGGGTGGAGGGGAACGAAGGGGGGAACAGAACAACTGTAACAGCATAAACAATTCAAAAAAAATAAATAAATTTATTTAAAAAAAAAGAATTTCGTGACTTTAAAAGAATTCTACCCACTGATGAAAAAGTTAGAGCTTCTGTGTCACTGACCTGAGGTCCACCCGCATACATCCAGCCTCTGAAGCTTTAGGAGACATCTGTATTCTGTCCTCTGGGTGGAGATGCTGTGCTTGTCAAGTTTAGTGGTTGCGTGAGTCAGGGTTCTCCAGAGAAACAGGACCAACAGGAGGGGAGAAACAGTTTCTCTCTGAAACAGAGAGAGGGCGTTAGAGAGCCATAGGGAGAGGGCAGGGGGGGGAGGCAGAGGGGGAGGGAGAGGGATTTTAAGGAACTGGTTAATGTGACTGTGGAAACTGGCAAGTCTGAAATCTATGGGCCAGGGATGGTAGAGTGAAGACTTGGATAAGAGCTGTCCCAGTCTAGAGTCTGAAATCTGCAGGGCAGGCCAATAAATTGGAAACTTAGGCAGAGTTTCTATGTTGTAGTGCTGAGGCAGAATTGCTTCTTGTTCAGGAACCTATCTTTTTTTATTAAGGCCTTTAACTGATGGATGAGGCTCACCACATTATGGGAGGTAATCTGCTTTACTCAAAATCTGCTGATTTAAGTGTTAATAACATGTAAAAAAAATAGTTTCATAGCAACATCTAGACTGGTGTTTGACCAAACAACTGGGCAAAACTGCCCAGCAAAGCTGACACACTTCATTTCATCCTCATGGTAGACTTTGGCCTTCCAACTTCTAGTCAATGACTAGAGTTATCTGGAGCCCATCCATAGCATGTTGCGCATCCCATTCTTTTCTGTGTAGAAAATAAAAAACGGGGTCCTGAGCTTCAGTCTAATCCTAAGACATTATTTGTTTTATTTCAGAATATACAATTCTCTAGGCCTTACATAGATTCCTCCCAGATAAGAGCTACCACCACTCTCCAGCTCTTCTCTAACTTGGGTTGATGCCCCTTTGGGCATCTTTTTGGTTAAAGGGCTACATTTTACAGCTTCCCTAGGTTCTACACACAGCTGCTGTAATTGCTGTTCAGGTCCTGGGCAATCTCAGACCAGCGTCAGCAATGCAAACTCTTCACCCTCTCCAGTATGGAACTCAGACTGGAGTGCTAGGGAGTGCATGTGGTTCTCTTTACTTTTCCGTGGCTGAAGCCCTCTTTGCAAAATTTTCAAGCATTATTCTTTTTTGTCCAGCTGTAGTGCTCTTTGATATTTCTTTAGAGTAGTAGCTGGCTCAACTTTAAAAAAAATCCTGAAAGAAAGCATGAAGCATTCAGAGTAACAACTGCCGGCAGCCACCATTCTCCCACTCACCCAGCCTCCTCTGTGGTGTTACTTCATGCTTACTCTGTGCCCAGCGTGAGCTCAGGAAAAATGTTTGGTTATGGCCATCCCACTTCAGGGAGCTTAAAAGCTAGTTAGGGGACATGAAACTGTCGTTTATAGTGAAGCTTACCAAAGAGGAAACATTTATCTGGCCACATACTTGAGGTTCATTATTTTATATGAACCACCGGAGGAGTTTTGTTTATTTATGAACTGGAAGTTTTAAGTCATAGGCATTGAACAGTTAGATCTCATGGATTAGATCACTATTAGAAGGGATCCATTTTTGGAATTATCAGACCCATAACTTAATTCATGAAGGAAACTGAAGTCATCTGAAGGGATAGTGGAAAGATTAGGACATTTCTTCTATTAATAAAAAATATTGTAAGGAAATATTTATTGAAGTCTGTAAAATCATAAAGGAGATAGATTATACAAAGCCAAAATAATATAATAATTTTCTTACTAAGCCTACAATTATTGTACACATTCTGAAACATGGTACTGTTTCATTCTAGTCAGAAATATACTTTAGTTAATTCTATATTTCTATTTTTAATATCTTAATTGATTAAAAATACTGTTTAGAAAATTGTGGTTGAGAACAGATCTGTCTTTTGGAGTTCTCTTTTTTAAACAAAGTGCAAGTATTTATTTTACATATTTGCTTTTACTTCGAGAAAAAAAACTTAGAAAAATACGACTTGGGTGTAGTACCATGTGGTGTAAACAACTGACCCATTTTACCTTTTACTTTCCTATGAATGAGCCAGTATATATTTATTACTGGAGTTCCAGCAATAAAATTCAGGTAAGGGGTTTAAATATACCCTAGAGTATTATTTAAAAATAAATTTGTTTCTTTCAAATAGGGTACCAGCCTTGGTCTATGTATGACATTTGGGGCAGAAATTAAAATATTAAACTTTTATTACCTAGTAAACTGAAAATAAAGTAAAGGTTAAATAAATACAAAGCAAAAAAAATATATGTACAAAATCACAACCCCTAAGAGGACAAACAGTCTACTGTTCTGCACTGTGAAGCTTTATCAGCAGTAGTAATTCCACCTCCAGGGCAGTGCTAGTACTAAAAAATGTAAACAAGTATGTACTTTGTTTATAGAAAAAAATATGAAGCATGGTGTGTGTTTCTTTAGATATCAAACAGCTAGATGGATTGTTCCAATGCGCCAGTAGGGGACAGCAAAGAGCTCTTAGAGTTTTTCAGAACAGAATTGGCATTGAGATATGTTTATTTGATGTGTTAAATTCTTTTTAGACTTCTTTACTTACCAAAACACTCTCTTAAGTGAATGAATTGCAGAGACAGTGGAATAAAATATCTTGTGTGCTCAAACTATATTGGGGTATAGTTTTTCTGTCTAATCTGCATATGTTTTTAATGGAATGTTTGCTTAGGCTATTTCTTGGCAGAGTTTTAATAGTCAAAATATAAATGGCATCATTTAAAGACTGTACTACTTGGCTGGAAAGGGCCCTAAAATTATAGGAGAAAATGCTTGGTGACAGCTTCTCTTAAACTTTTTTTTTCTTTCAGCTGTATGCTCAGTTTTTGCAATAGTATTACTAGGCAAATTTTGTATTTCTGTCCTTAAGCTTTCACTTTGTATAAGAAGTGTTTTTGTGAAGCTAAAATATTTCTCTCTTTGATTTAATGCTAGATTTTAATTCACCCCACAGTTTTGCTATTTCTAAATTGTATAGCTGTTTGAATTTACCTTAAAAAATATAACAGTCTCTATTCCTTTCTGCATTAACTAACTTGACTAGATTCCTAGTATGGCTACTATTTGGAAATTCAATCCTCGATTTGATACTCAATTACATGGGGTTTCATTCCTACCAACTTCCTGTAATTTTATCCCTATGGGTAAAAATATTAGTGGTCAAACTCTGCTGGAGAAAGTATAGGCACTGTGATTCACATACTTAAATGTTCATTTAATAGAGCTGGAGTGAAAAAATACTGTTTCAACTTGAAATGCTAGAAGATTGTTGTTCTTGTGTTACTCATTCATGCAAATTGGAGAAGGTATAATTGAAACAAGGTTGGCAGTGTTTGAGGCAGTGCGCTGCAGCTGAGCTCCGCTTAAAGGTCGCTGGAAATCAAGTGCTTTGTAAGCGAAGGCATTTTGACTACAAGCAATTCAAGACAGTTTGGAAACGTCAGTCTCAGGAATGGGTCGCCTTTTTCTTTCTCTGATATCTGGTATCTAAATGTTTTACTTAGGATAAAGACTACTACTTAAGAGCTCTTTCGGGCACCACAAATGATTTTTTCTTTCGACGCAGTGCAGCTGCTTCTAGCCTGTCTACCGACAGAGATCTTTGTTATGACTCTCAGCCCTTAACATGTTTGGAAATGAGAACAAATGGCACAAAGCTTACGATTGCACTTTGCAGCCAGAAGAAGTAATACTTATCCTTTGTCGGAAACCTCCGGAGATGATTTGGATAGCAGTGTTCCCATGTACTTCAAAAGACCAACACGGATTTCAACGTCTAACGTTGTTCAAATGAAGCTGACTCCCAGACAGACTGTACTACCTCCGTTAATAAAGGAAAACGTTAAGTCTCAGGAGAGATCATCTGCTCCTTCACCTGAAAATGTTAATAAAAAGAGCAGCTGTCTACAGATTTCACTACAGCCGACAAGGTACAGTAGATGTCTTCAGTCTAGCAGTGTGGTAGCTGATGGTGATGTTGCTTCCTTTACCTGTGTCCTGAAGGACGGCATTTACAGCAGTGCTGTGGTTGATAACGAACTGAATGCTGTGAGTGATGGCAACCTTTTTAGCAGCTCTGCCATTTGCAGTGGTAACCTTAGTAACTTTTCGACCAGTGAGCACGGGTCTTACAACAGCAACGGTAGTGATTATGGGTCGTGCACAAGTATCGCGAGTGGAGGTTCTTACACCAACAGTATCACCAGTGACAGCAGTGGTTATACTTTTCCACCTGCTGACGATACCTTTTTTGGTAGAAATGTATATTCTGACAGTACCTCGAATAGAAGTGTGCCCAACAGGAATACTACTCCATGTGAAATTTTTTCAAGAAGTTCGAGTACAATTCCTTTTGTCCAGGATGACTTGGAACATGGACTAGGGATTATGAAGTTGCCAGTGAGTGGGAACTCGAAAATTCCACTGAAACGTTGTTCATCCTTAGTCATTTTTCCTAGGAGTCCTTCAAACACCCCACCAACTTCTCCAACAAGTACAGGTACTCTTCCAAGCAAAGGATCCTATCAAACCTCACACCAGTTTATTATTTCTCCCAATGAAACTGCCCACAATGAGGACGGTACCAGTGCGAAGGGATTTCTTTCAACAGCTGTCAATGGACTCCGGTTATCTAAAACAATCTGTGCTCCTGGAGAAGTAAGAGATATTCGGCCACTTCACAGGAAGGGCTCATCACAAAAGAAAATTGTTATTGCAAATAATAGTTCAAATCAGACTACCTTTGAAAAGTCCTCTGAAGGATATTCTTGTGTTTCAGTGCATTTCACCCAACAAAAAACTTCGTTAGATTGTGAAGCAGCAAATGGTGATCGTAAACCAGAGATGTCATATGTTAAGCTTAATTCTGATTCAGAGTATATTAAGCCTGTGCATAGGACACCTTCATCCTCCCAAAATATAGATTATCAAATAAACACCAGTGGACAGTTGGAAAGACCAAATTTACAGATAAACAAAAGCCACGCTATTTTGCAAAGAAGTATTTCATTGGGAGGAACTTACCCAAACGTTTCCTGTTTGTCCAGCCTTAAGCACAATTGTTCTAAAGGGGGACCACCTCAATTACTCATCAAGTTTGCATCTGGAAAGGAAGGTAAAGTTGCTAATTTACCAAGAGACAGCAACAGAGATTTCACAAATGAACTGTCTGATTCTTCAAAGCATTCTTGTAAGGTAAGTTTTCTTCTGGTCTTGGTAAATGTTAATTCATATTAGAATAGCTTTATGGAATAGTTGGTTAAAATTTATTATAATTTAGCAGTTTTATATACTTTCCTGGTCCTTAGCTAGCAAGTATTTTTGTAGTAATAAACTTAATATTTGTAAATCTGAGGAACCCACAATAATTTTTCACTTTGTTATTTTACCAATGTAGAAAATATTCATTAGAAAAACTTTCCAAAGGGAGTTAAGCCATAAAACATTTATGTAGCATAAAAACAAGCTTTACATAATAATTTATTTTATAACACTTTGGTATGTTTTTCCCTTCCTTCACGTGGCATAGCAGTTTAATTTCTAACTCCACTTTTTATTCTGACTTCCAAAAATGCTCATATAGTATTCTCCCTTCCTTAATCATTGTGAACTAAAGTAAAATGTTGAGTGTTTAGTTAAAATATTAAACAAGAAAAACCCTGTATAAAAATGTGAAAATTTTGTTATAGATGAATGTAGAGAAAAATGTTTTTCTAAAATACATGTATTTATTAGATCATTGTGAAAAAATGATTATGTTGCCTAGCTAAAGCAGAGGAGAAATAAATGGCATTTTCATTTGTATATACCCTTAACCCCAGGAATTTTGTTTCCACCCTGTTTTTCTTTAACTGCCAGTTAAGACTGCCTTCTAAAATGTGACTTACTCTTTCAACAATATTAAAATTTAAATGTTATATTTTTGAATTTGGTTTCAGTTGCTAGGTATTTCCCATAATGTTCTAGTTACCTTACTAATTTGTTATTTTGATAATTTTGCTTGTAAATTTAACTCTAGTGAATATTAGCTGAAGCAGTTCTTTATGTAGTGTGGCCTTTCCAAAGTATGTTAAGTGTTTTGACTTTAAATAGATTTTTAAAAATTTTGTATTTACAAGGTCTTGCCAGGATGCTAAAACATTTTTAATACCAGGAAATTAAATTTTTTTTCTGACTCAACCAATTTTAGATGACAGTAAAATGTAGTTGAGGTGGGGGGGCAGGTGGGTAATTTATCTGTTTATCTGTGTTTATGTAACACTCAGTATCTATATTAAAGTTTTTTTTAACTTCTGGACAAATACCTTAAAGTAAATAAAATATTCAGTAATTGCTAGTTTTCTCTCTTTTGAATTGCAGTAAATATAATCATTGTTATCCAATGCTCAGATGTTAATATAAGCAACTACGTTCCCGAAGATGAATAAATATTAGATTTTATATTCTGATCTTTTAGAATTGTTTAAAAACCAGCTTTGAGGATGTTATAATCTATTTAACTATTTTGTCCCTTAAAAGAAAGCAATGAAGTGATACTATGAAGCAACATATTATTAGTTTGCTAATTGAATTTCCATGTATTTTATAAATTTATTTTACATTTCATGAAGTAATTAATCTGCAGGGATTAACCTAGAAATACAGAAATATCCTTAAAATGGTTGATTTTGCAGTAATAATATAATTTGTTGTTTATGCTTTTAAAAACAGTATTTTTAATGTTTTTTTAATAAAGCATGACTAAATGCTTTTTGCATGGCTAAAAATATACACTTTTATTTGTTTTATTTAAACTTAGGTAAGCCCACAAATATTTTTTTCTGACAGCCAAATGCCTTAATTTTGTTCAAATTCTATTTTGGGGAGTAGATTATTGAATTATACTCAAAAGTGTATAATTTGTTGCAGAACTTTAAATTGTTCCTTTTTTAATGTTTATTAAAAAACTTTATAAAAGTATTATAAGCAATATAGTGACCCTTAAATTTAACATATACTAGATCTAAATTGATCAAAATGATTAATGATAAATCAAAGGCTGTTTTAAGAAATACTTAATGTTGTTTTTTCTAAACATAGCAGTGGCAACAATAATGGGATTTTAGAAATAATCCTGTGTTTATCAATAATTATATATTAATCTAATTATAGTGGTATATTGTAACTCATTTATAAATAAACAGCTCCCAAAATATTTCCCATGACTCCAGTTAGTCTGGGTTAGTATTCTGATATGCTGAGTCTGGATTCACATTTAACAAGTTGATATTAGAGTCGCATTTAGTAATGTCAGCTATCTGTACCGACCAGCCGTGAAATGCTGCTTGTTAAATCAAGCAGCAGGTATCACTGCTTTGGTCAGGGTCCCTTGTTTCTAAAGCACTGAGAGGACTACATATTCTTTTCTTATGTGTTTAGTTACTAGTCTCTAGCCGCATAGTATCCAGTTTCTAGCTCTCTATCATCAGCAGCTCACTAATGGCTCATTTTGCAAATCTGGTGAGAACTTTTACCTGTATCTGCAACAGGCCTCTGTTCCATGTTTAAAACTTAGAATGAGGATGAGACTTTGTAGTCTGCATGATAGTGTTTATTTCATTTCTTTGTTATCAAAGAATACAACAACTGACATATTTATTACTTATGCCTTTTGAAATATAATATTACTTTTGTAAAGGCTGTATAATGACTTTTGATCTGAAAGTAGGTATTTGATATTCCAACAATGAGTGTAATGTTTTGTCAGGTCTATCAAGTTAAGGACCTAAGGTAGTTTTAATCCACTTAAAAAAGCTACTACCCATATTTCTAAAATCTGCATAATAGTTTATTATTATTTTATTTTTCTTTGCTGTTTTCTAAATCTCCTATATTATGTTATGAGGATGCTCAGAGTTTTCATTTAAAATACCTTAGCATTTTGCCCAAGCTTATACATGTCTTTCATTCTTCATATATATGCACATTTTAATAAAAAGTTTAGCTTCACATTGTTTTCTTTTGTTATAAAACTTTTCGTTACTTAATCCCAGGTAAGTAAATTGCTTAAGCTTAGTATAGTAAAACTTAAAAAAACTATGCCTCAGTTATTTCAAAAGCCTTTAACACTAATCTCAAGATGATTTGTTTCAATAATCTATTTAGTCATTTTTCCTGAAATAAATGTCTTAAATATGTACTTATTTTAGTGTTCTATTATTTTCTCAATCCTTATTTTATTAACTTCAGCAGCATATTTAGAGACATTTGGTTAAATTTATTTTGAACAACACAATTTCTCCTATAAAAACCAATATAATTTATAAATATTGACTCTCAAATTATGATACAATAATGTTAATGACCAGTTTTGGAAATTCACTGAGAACTATATGCTGTATATGTATATTTCTTATAACTGAAGAACTATAATACTAATTTCAGAATGGGTCAGGCAGTTGAATTGTTTGCTTCAGAAATAGTTTAATTTTCTCTGAAGATGTATCCTTTTTAATTCATTCATCTAACACACATTTGAGTCCCTGCTATTTGCCAGGCCCTGACCCAAGCACCAGGAATAAAAGGTAACAAAGTACAGTCTCTACTTGGGGAGCTTCCATTCTAGTCAGAGAGATACACTAGTAAACAAAAAAAACTTTTCAGTCTAATGTGTGATGGGCTAAAATAGACGTGTATATGAGAAAGTGACAAAGATGTGACAGTGTTTGTATGCAGAAGAGAACCTAGTTGGTAGAGAAAGGCTTCACAGAGGTGGTGACATTTGAGTTGAATCTTGGTAGGTGAGAATCTTGGTACAGATAGCCTGGTAGGTGCATCGGGTAGAGAAATCAAGGAGGATAGTCTAAGGCAGTGATTCTCAATCTCAGCACAGTTGACATTTAGGGCTCGATATTTTGTGTTGTATGGGACTGCTCTGCACCTTGTATGATGTTTAGCAGCATCTCTGGCTTCTACCCACTGGATGCCAATAACGGCCCTTTTTCCCATTTGGGACAAGCAAAAAATGTCTCCAATCTTTGCCAAATGTCTCCTACAAGCAAAATTGACCCCTGTTAAGAATCATAGCTCTAGGCAGAAGCAGTCACACATGCGGCGCTAGTTATGTGAAAGAATCCCACTACAGAGGGTTCGGTATGACTCAAGTATAGGGAGTCCAGGGGTGTGGGAGGAGATGATGAACTAGAAGTGGGTGGGAGTTCCATTGGGTGTAATGTCTCCTCCCTGCCACCAAAAATAAGACAAAACTAAAACACAGTTTCTGTGTAGAAAACAAGTAAGGGTTTATGGCCTATTCCTAGAAACTACCTGGAGAATAGACATACCTTTCCATCTTTATGTCATGCTGAAGAGAAAGCTTGCCTCCTGATAAGAGAAAATAAGCAACAAAAGTCACTACTTGTGATTGTAATGTGCTTGCTTATGTGTTTTTAAATAATATTTTTATGGCACTATGGATTATAAATGAATCAAAGTTTTCCTTAACTTACAATGAATGGTGACATCATGAATTAAGATAGGGAATTCAGGAGAAGAGGCCAGATTGGGAGAGTGAAGGAGAAATCATGCATTACTCAGCGGACATATGGGGAGGCTGTCCAGGAAGTACTGTCAAGTAGGGCAGGTGGAGATACAGGACCAGGGCTCAGGAGAGATGTGAGAGCTGGAAATGGAGCTTGGGCATTGTGCATGTGGTTGAAGCCTTGGGTAAGAATAAACTGAAAGTCATGAAGGTGAGACAAAGATTAGGGGTGGGTGGAAATAAGACAGAATTCTGGGGGCACTGACTTTGGGGAGCTTTGGGGAGATGGTGGAAGAAGAGACAAAGAGAAGACTAAGAACTACTAAGGGGCAGAGAGCCTGGGAACCCACAGGAGCGGGGAAGTCAAGGGAAGGAAAAATGCAAGGTGCATGGATATGATGCCTCAAAATTTGTGTATCCATTAAATGTGGCAGTTAGGAGGTCCTTGGGGACCTTAGCAAAAGTATTCTCAGGAAACTAGTGGAACAGCCTGGTTGAAATAAGAATGAAACAGGTAAGGAAGCAAAATAGCAAGTGAAGATTGCTTGCTAAATGTCATAAAATAGGCATAAAATAGTGGCGGCAAGGTGTACATTTAGTGGCTACCATATAGAAGACACAATAGTAGGTAAATACAGGATGCATAGACAGGTTCTCTGTTTACAAGAACATTGCA